AAAAAAAAAGAAAGAAGGAAAGCTCTAAATTGAGGAAGCATCATTGATAAATGCATTCTATTCATTTTTCTGACACTCATAATTCCCACACTTGAAAGCATTATTCCCTGTGGCGCTGACCTGGGTGGATTTGTCCTGGCGGGGCACACAGCTCGGGCCTTCTGGTTCTTTGGGCCAGTGTCCTTGCAGGTACGGCCCGATGATGGCGTCCAGAGACATCGTCCGCCTCATGCCCGGGCTCAGCTGGTGGGATCTGGCCTTTCTAGCTGTCAGTTTTGCAGAGATATGTTCTTATTATTTATAAAAAGCTTAAAAATAATCCACACTAATCGGTTTTTCCTCAGGAAACTTGCAGCATTGTAGTGGCAGACACTTATTTTAAACGCATTGCATCATTTTCACCTTCACATCAGAAAGCCACACATGTAATGCTACTTTTCACACACACTGGCCTTTAAATCTATTTTAAAGGTTTTAACGTACTGACAGTAAGCATCAAGAGACTTCATGTCACAGCCATCTACACATGATACAAAAAAGACACTAGTGTCTCTTAAAAATGGACAAAAATGCTCTTTAAGACGCTAAAAATACTTAAATAGTTTTATATTTGGGGCTACCAATCTCTGGCTATTATCCTATCAACACCAAATAGTCTGATTGACAAGGAGAAATTATAAAATATATTTAATCATTTTTTTAATTTCGGAATTATAACTACAGATTTTGAATACTTTAATATAGAAGTAGCAACGTTTCCCTTAAAACAAACAAACAAACAAAACACTCTCTCACACACACACTAACAATAAAAACATATTTTATAGCTCGTGTTACTGATTAAGACGGTACAGTTTATTTTATGCTTGGATCAGGCTACCAACTTGCCCTCTTTTACTGAGAATTTGCTATCTAAAGTTTGAACTTCTTATCTAAAGTCTGCAAATGCCCTACTGGGAAACTAGCAGATAAAGCTGCTCTGCAACTGCGCAGGACTGCAGAAACTCGTACCCAGCTTTCTACACCTATCGTGACAGTACGTGAGGTCTTAAACTTGGATGGATAAGGTGGAAAAAGGTGTTGAACTCATACCTGGCTTCCCATCTATCCTGCTGGGTCTCGGTTTGCTGGCCAGCTGATAAGGGACAGTTGCCTTCAGCGGCTGTGGACCCAAAGCAGCACCCCTCGTGTGTCCAGCTCCACTTCGACCGGACATCTTTACAGTGTCAAATCTGGGTCCACTTAACTCTAAATGACTGTTATTAGCTGTGGCTGTCCTGCCTGGTAGAGATGTGGGGGCGCTCTGGTGATGGTGGTGGCTGGCTAAAGTTAACCAGCTGCGGCTCTTTCTCCTCTGGTGCTGGTGATGACTACTCGAAGAAAAACCGTTACAAAACTCAAGGCGAGTCATTCAGAGACCATGTCCGAGCACATAACACTATAACTCGACAAGTAAAACGTCAATACGAGCTTGTGTTCTCGTCTTCGCAGCTGCGCAAACTTTTTTTGGTCTCCTTGCTGCTGGCTTGTGTGGCGAGTTAGCAGCCTAGCAAGCAAAGTTTCTTTGTGAGGATGTTGAGATATTTCACCCCGTTGTCGAAGGAGGAAGCAGCTCCAGTTTCAAAAAGTCACTTTTACGTCAACTCCCACGGCTTCCGAGCAAACTTTAAAGTGTGTTTCATTACAACTTATCGGGCCGGAGCGTGTTTGTTTTCTCTCTCTTTTTTAAAGGTGGCCGTGAAGGATGTGAGGCTGAGCACAGCTCCCTAGCCCTCTGCGTTCTCGTTTCAACGCAAACTCCAAACAGTTCCAGCACCACGCTGGTGTGGATTTAATTACGTGTGTGGGCGGACCCTGCTCCCAGATCTCACTTTTTGATTGGTCGGGAAGCCTCAGATTTCAATCCTATTTGTCAGTGCGCCATCAATCCCTCATATTTAGGCACATGAAGTTTGGTGTCCCCGCCCCCAAATTCATATCTGAGGTTAGCTTATTTTTGAATGTTAAATTCGTGTTTTAAAAACTAATTTAAACCTTTTTAAAGGAGAAAACCGACTATTGTAGCTATACCTTGACACATGAATCAGCATACTTTAAAGCTGCTGCAGTAGTTTACATGTATTAAAGGGCCATGCTAGTGGCTTTTCTGGCATAGCAAGTAAACATTACTTGTGTATCTACAGAGCACTCTCTTAATTAAGAGCAACATTCGTTTGTTATTACACCTCCTGTTGTAAAAATAAGGCCATTGATTAAAATGGCCGGCATAAAAGCAGAAAAGAAAATGCGTTGAACTACTTAGAGTCATTGCAGCACTAATATATCTACAGCTCCAAAAAAATAAAAGTAGCTCATTAATGAAAGAAAATAATTGGCTCCAAGTGAAGTAGAAGTATAAAATAACACAAAATGGAAATAATCATGTAAAGTATGCCTATGGGAGGGCCACCGTAATGTACATAGTTGCTTCTCACTCCCCCAAATTATGTAAATGTTATTGTAGTTTTCATTATACCTTGAATAATGTCACTGCAGAGCAGCTCCACCTTCAGATGCAAATGAAGCGCAAACATGTAGTCATTTACACTGTAAATATAAAAAAGTAATATATATTAAAACTACTAAAGACAAAGCTGTAAGTGCTATTGGGTGGTAAGCACTGAGACAGTCAGTGGCTGATTTGTTTGGGTACAGGAAAGACTGTTGCAGACTTCACACAGGTTGGGATGAGGGCTTGTGATGGCTGATCTGCACATGCTTGTTTGCACCTTCCCAGGAATCCAGTCAGGATCAGAGGCCTTCCTTGTGTTCACTGACCTGTGCACCAGCCTCACTTGATGTTGCTGTAAGGTGACTGCCTGGGCTCTGGAGTCTGGGGAGACTGAGAGGCTGACACTGAGTGCTGTGTGAGGCCTCAAAGCCCCTGTAGCTAGTGGATGAGGTGATCTTCCACCTTCCTCTTTTATCCCGCTCTCCAGCTCAGCTCTAGCAGGATTGTACAGAGCTCTGCAACCTGATCTAAGAGTCAGAGCCGCGGTCTCTGAAGACAGTCCTGAGCTTCCCTGTCGTCCAGGTTTTCTGGCAGTGGTATTATTAGCACAGTACTTGATGCAGAACAGAACCGACTCCGTGTGTTCAGCTGATGTTCAAATATGTCCCAAACAATGTGTTCAAAACAGTCCGGTAATTATGAGAGGGCTTTCTGAAGTCAGGCTTGATAGTCTTCAATAGTCTTCAGTTGTGGCTTTGTTTTTGTTTTTTGGGGAGGGGGTTTGTCTCCTGAGAGGGGTGCAAGCAGGAGTGAAGAGAAGAGAGACGTGGTCTGACTGGTCTTACTGGGGGAGGGGTATGGCTTTATAGGAATGCTTGATATTTGAATAATCATGATCAAATGTATTTTCTGCCCTAATCAGGCAGTACACATGTAAATGAATCCAAGAAGTACTGAGCTGAGGGTTGTCTGATGCCATCAAGGTGAAGCTGCAGTCTGTTTCGCAGGAATTCCTGCTAAACCCTGGGATCAGGTGGAATGCAGACAGCAGCGACAATCACCACCGTTCGCTCTACTGGAAGAAAAAATGGCCGGTATTTAGCTGAGAGAAACTGTAGGTCAGGAGAGCCACGGCTATCTAAGATCATGCTGTTATTTGATCGATCATTATGCACATACATTAGAGTCATTGTTTCTGTTCCCTGCAGCTCTGATTTTCATGTTATTTTGATATATTTGTGTTCTCCTCCACTGGTTTGCTTCATTGCAGTACAACAATAAAATAATATTGCTGTAACATCCTTGATTTCCTTAATTTATCATTCGTAAACATCATAAACCTCATGCGAATTTGCTAGTTTCTTTCTTACAGCAGCACTTCTGTGGGGTCTACGCTGCATTAGCCTTTACCAATAATGTTATTTGACCAAAAAAGCAAGACTTGGCTAATTAAAGAAAACTTTCAAGAGATTGTTTTTAAATACACACAATGTAAAAAAAAGAAATGCACCAACACCAATGGATGAATAAACGTAGGAGAAATATAAACAAATTCCAACAGTGTGACATGGTTTGCAGAACTCTGGTATAAAGTCCATGTTATCTGCACTAAATGAGCTAGAACATGCAAACTCCCCCCGGAGCGGTCAGCTAAATATTTCATCATCAGCTTCATACATTTGTTTATTTGTAGACTAATTTCCCCTTCATGCAATCCTGAGGCCCAGCTGGGTGTGTGTGCACCATCTGGGTGGACTGTGAAGTGGTTATGGGTGGTGTGGGTGCGTATGTGTGTGCGTATATGAGACAGTGTGCATTGTGGAAGATAAATATCCTGACTATGTAAAAAGGGAGTGCCGATGGTGGGACAGAAGAAGAGGGCTGAGATAACAAAATGCCACTTTTAGAAGCCAGAGCAGTGTAAGACTCGCCATCCGGCGCCCTCTGCAAAAGCTAACTGTCCTGAAACATGCGTGTCTTACACGGGACCCTGTCCCCGTGCTTAGATAACACATTTGCTTGCCGGGACACCAGAATGGGACTAAGAGGGCTTTATCACAGAAAGATGAAGCGTTAAACCATGTGTTTACAGCATGCTCATCTATCTAGTATAAATTGCAGCCAGCAATTAATGTCACTCTCACAAAACCACCAAAGACAAAGACAAATAACTAAACACAGCATAGCACCACCCCACAGGCATCCATTCATTTACAGCCTGGGAGTTAATTGGACAGTATGTCGACCTGGAATGCATCTTCAACGTAATGCTTTTCTAACATTTACCAAAGGACTTCCAGCTCCTGTTTGCTCAGCTCTGTGTATTTGTCTGTGTTAATGAATAAATGAGCCTAACCTCTGACCCCATGTGAGCTATCTCAAACTAATTTAAAGAGAGGCGATGTCATGCTTCACAAAGTCAGGTCTCAAGGGGAAGACATGAGAACAAAGCGTGACCCAGGCCAAAGGGGGACGAGGGTGATGACAGGGAGGCTTCTTGGACCTATAGTAAAATAATAAGCTGTGATATCAGATTATGTGGAGGGAGTGTGAAAAAGAAAGTACACCAATTTTTCCAATTTTAAATCAAAACAAGCCCAGATCATCACCCCTCCACCACTGTGTTTAACAGTTGGCATAAGGTGTTTGTACTGATATTTGTACTGTGTTTGGTTTTCACTAAACGTGCCAGTGTGCATTATGGCAAACATCTCCACTTTGGTCTCATCTGTTAAAAGGAAATTGTTCTAGAAGACTTGCGGTTTGTTCAACTCTGCAAACCAGGAGAAAATGACTATTCTCTGTCCTTTATAGAAAAAAGAAGCTTTCTCCCGGAAATCCTTCCAAACAAGCCATATTTGTTCAGTCTTTTTCTAATTTAACTGTCATGAACTTTAGCATTTATCATACAAACTGAGGACAGTAGAGTGCATGTAGCTCTGCGATTTTTTGCAGTTTCTCTGACCAAGAGGTGAATTTGTCGGCACGTCCACAGCCTGAATGCTCATGACTGCAGTAGAGGTGCTCACACTTGCTGCTGATGAGTTAGTGAAGTGCAATTAATTAGCAGCCACCTGCCCTCTTAATTCCTGTGGAAAGCAGGTAACTCATGAGGGTGTATTCAATTTTTCACATTGCTTTTGCATTTCAGTTGTTTACCTGTGTGTGACAGCTGGTATTGAAAGAAAACAGAGGAGGTGCCTTAATTAGAAGTTTTGTGCATATATACAAGCAACTACAGGGGGTTACAGATGTGTTTTGTGAGTCGGGATCAGTTGTGCAGGTGGAGGAACACTAACCTGTGCACCTTTGGAAGTGAAGGTGCCAAGGGCGTAGACTGATTTACCAGAGCAGCAGTGATCCACTAGCTGTTCCAGCCATGGGGTATTGTTTTGATTTGTTGGGTTTTTTTGTGTGGTCCATCCTGGCAAGTGAGCCTGTATGGACAATGGTTGCTTTCTTTGGGATGGACTGGGCATTTTTTTTTTTGTTCTTTTTTTTCTTTTTTGTTTGTCTGTCCATTTCTTGAATATATACTTGCTTCTTCGTTACATATCCTATTGATTTTATTCAGTCTGGTCTCTGTTTTTCATGGGCTACAGTAAAACGAATTAGGTGTGGAACTCATTAATGGTGTCTGATCACTTAGTGTGCTTTTGATTGGTTGCAGTGAAATGGTTATTGGTCTGTTGTTGAGATGGGGGAGTGACTGACTGTGAAATAAAGATTTGTTTTCCTTCATTTTCATTGAAAAAAGTTTTTTGTTATTGCTAGTAACCTGCTGTGGGTTTAACATGAGGTTGTATATACCCAATTTTAAGACCTGCTAAGGAGCAGATTCTTTTTATGACCTGATATGTATGTTCTTTTCCCCCATTTGTGTCTGAGTATTAAAACAACCCATTATGCCAAAATCAACATGTCACTGGATAGGTGTAGTCTAAGTGCAGTCAGATCATGGACAATATGTGCAGGAAAGTCTAGGTAACACGATATCATGATGTCCAAATTTTATCAGAGATCCGATTTGTCAACTTTATGGTGCTACAAAATATTTGGGAGAACTCAGAAACTAAAAGGACAAAAGTACTTAGTAATTATAAAAATCAGGGGCTAATGTACAACAGTGTGGTAGATAATCCCAGCACCTTGATTAATGTCTGTACAAAATGCTATGACAGTCCAGCTAATAGATTGTAGGATTCTTCACTCGACATTTAAAAATCTGACCTGCTGGTGGCGCAACAGAAAGGATCCCTGAGGATTAGCTGTAGTCCTTAGAGGAACTATTCTCATAGGATAGGAACTGAGTGATTTCACCCTGGATCGAAGCGGTAGATATGCTGATGGTATATCCATTAAATACATAAGCACATTTAATGCTTCAAAAAAAGGCAGTTTTATTGCAGTTTTAAACGTTTCCCAACTCTCAAAAACGCCGCATTAAAAAGCAATTTACACATTGTGTGTGTGACTGACACAGGTGAGTATGTCATGGACGTAACTGTAACAGAAAAGGAAAGCTCACAGAAAGAAAAAAAATGGCATATGCATGTTGCACATTCACTATTTCTCTCCTGCTCAAACTATTCTATCAAGCTAGGTTTGTAGAAAAAGACGAGGACAACACTCATTCTGCATAGTCACAATAAACTCTGCGTTTGTATGCAACAGATTTCTGTTTTATTTTTTTAAATGTTCACACTGTGGCATCTCCACAATCCTCTGTAGCCTGTGTGTCTAACCTAGCGTATGATTGAATAAGGTCTAAACTGTCATTGATTTTAATATCATAAAGTAGCTTCTGTTACTTATTTTTTTAAATAATCTTCATCACAAACCATCTGACTCGCCACATTAAAAGCGTCTGTTCTAAAATCTTTTCATGCTCCTGTAACAGTATATAATAGGGCTGTTTCTCCATAAGGTTATAGCAGCTCACCCATCTTGTGAGTGTTATTCAACAGGCAGAGTAAGATAGGTTGACAGATCGATAAGACACAGACAAAAGGACAGCGACACAGAGAACGACCCTACAGCGAGCTTCGATGAAGGTGACCAGTTCAGATGGGTGACTGTAGGTGAAGGAGGGTCAGACCTAAACCAGCTGCTTTACAGTGCAGGAGGCTTAATGATGTCACGACAATGAAAGGCAATGACGCTGTAGGAGGCCATGAGGCAGTGCGGCAGCTTGCTCCTGTATCTTTGCTGCACAGGCCCAGAGAGCGTGCAGGCTGCTCTTCCACAACAGGTGTAAGCTGAGAGAGTGCTGGGTTTTAAAAGTAAAGGGACTCAAGTCTGTCAAGCATCTGTCCGCCCACCGAGAACAGTCGTTTTATTTTCACGCCGGAGCGTCTTAATGTTTCTTGGCAGTGTTTCTTTGGTGCCCCCTAGCTGGGAGAGAGGGCAGGACTGTTCTCTGTGCTGATGTTAACCAGGCACTCGCTGGACTTCAGGCTAGTCAGAGATTTGCAGCTTGGGAAGGACGCCAAGGACCCACACAGGCCCATCATGGAGGGGGTGTAGTCCTTTTCTGGGAGGGTGGGACAAACATAGAACGGGAGGGTCAGTTTAACTGTACACACATGTTTAATCGCTTGTGTGTCTGAGCTGTCACCTGTGCACCAGGCCCTCCCATTCTGTTTCTCATGAGTCCTCTGAGAGTCAGAATCCAGGCTGACCTCCACTGACAGCAGCTCTGTGCTTGGAAAACTCCTCCTGAAAGAGAGAACAAGGCAAATGTTTATATATGGCTCAAATGTAGATTCAAATTTTGAATTAAAAAATTTAAATGTTTTCTATACAGGTTTACATGGACATAACTACGCCATCTGATTTTTGCTTGTGATTTACACAAACTGCTAAGTGCTGTCTGATCTTTGATGGAACAATATTATACACCCACCAGCCACTTCATTAGGTGCACTGCTAATCAACACAATTATTTTATAAACCAGTGTGCCACCAAATGGCAGCAAGTGAGTGCAATTAAGCATGTACATATGATCAAAACAATGTGCTGAAGTTCAAACTGAGAACGAGAATGAGGAAGAAAGGTGATTTAAATTACTTTGAACGTCTCCAAAGGTTGATTCTGTTCATCTGGAGGTAGCGTTTTCAGTTTCGTCACTCATCCAAGTGACTTCTTCAGTCTCAGCTGACTGCAGGTTTCCCCAATCTTATAAACAGTACATTTGCATAATGACTGAAACCAGCTCACTAAGGGAACAATGGGCTGGGAGGTCAAACTTTGAACGTGGCACACCTGATGCCAGAGTATTTCATAAACTGCTGATCTGCTGGGTTTTTCCCACACAACTGATGATATATACCACAATATAGTGCATTTTCTGTAAATTTAGTGAATAGTTTATATAATCTGTCCATCAAAAGTACTATTTATTTTTCACATTTAAATCAAATAATTAAAAATGAAATAAATATGGGCTGTACGCAGTGTTATCCAATAGCGATACTAACTAGATGACCTCACAGTCACGCAAGAGCTTCCCTGAGGCCACCGGGTATCACTCCTGTTCCTGTATGGAAACCAGCCTGTCTGCAAACATCTACTGCAGAGTGTCCAGTCTCGGAGGAAGTGCACCGTTAAGCGCATAAAGGAATGTTGTTCTCATCTGTAGAGTTTAAGGAGAATGGTCTGAAAAAGAGAACAACGTGTCTAACCTTGAAGCAGATGGACTTTTCGATTCCATGCTGTGAAGAACTGAAGCAGTTCTGAAGACAAAAGGGACTCCCAGCCAGTACTAGCAGTACTAACTTAAAAATGCGACTGGCTGGTGTATATTATTGTTATTACAGAGTTTGTGCATATTGTCAAATTGCAACAACGAGACAAAATAACCATGCTGCCTGTAGCAAACCTGCGAAACAGCTTCATGTCCTCTTGGCTGTCGAACGGCTCCAGCGTTGGCCACTGGTTGACGAGTGGGATTGAGAGGTTTTTCGCCAAGTGGTTGGAGTCACAAGGAATCAAGCTTGTCCTGAGACATGTGAGGGTAAAACATAAGTCCCAACAACAGAACCACTGAAAAGCAAACACAGTCCACGGTACTCTGCAGTGAAGAGTGCTCATCAGTTAAGCTGGCATTGTGTTAAAGCTATTTGCTTAAACATGCTAGCCATCTGTGTGTTTCACTCACAGTTGCTCCTGAAGCTCCAAGACAATGGCCTCCAGTTCCCTTTTCTCCTGTTGGCTCTGGGTCTGCAGCTCCTCAAGCCGGGCCTTTAGCCTCTTGTTCTCCATCTCTGTGTTCTTCAGCTGCGACTCACGCAGACGCACAAGCTCCTCCAGGTAACCCTGACAACACACATTCAGACTGAGCGAAAATTTAAAAAACACATTCACCCTCGGATACTCATAATAGACATCAACCATCTGTGAACGGTCATAGTAATGTAGAAATGATTCCGCAGTATAATCTTTGTTATTAACTGACAGATTAATAGAGTCATGAAACGATGAACGCGTTTATCTGCATTTATTAACCTTAGATTTAGATCAAACAACAGCGATAGACACACATCATGTTTGTCCGCCCACCTTTTGTGCATTGACAATCTTGAACCTCTGCTCCATCTTGCGACACTTTGTGCTCCAGCTCTCCTCGTCGGTGACCAGGGGGATGTAAGGATGTTCAGGGACGCTGTCGTCACTCGCACTGCTGTCAACACTCTGCCGATCATCGTCATCGCTCAGGTAATCATAGCTGTGACACAAGCAGCCAGTATCAGTATCTTATTGACTTTGAATGGGCTGTGCAGTGGGGTTTCTGTAACTTTCAAAGCGTCTCTGAAATATGTGAAGGTTGGTGTACCTTTGTGTAAATTTCAAGTATGGAGTATAGTCAATCACTGCAGGAGATTTCCCATCCAGGGCCTCCCCTTTTAAACAGAAGCTGAGGGAGACAAACCAATCAGAAATTAGAAACTTTATACATGCATAAGGATTTTAAAAGTATCAGTCTGATACCTAAAAGTCAGGACGCCCCACCTAAAGTCTATAGCTCCAAGACCTATTAGCATCCCTGTTAGCACTGTAGCTTCTTCTCTTAACATGATGGCTCCCTCTGCATAGAACCTCCTAAAGCACAAAGACAAGTGCAGTTAGGTGGGAACATGTTTGTGCGAGGATCAAGTGATTTTTATTATATAGAGAGGTGCTAACTTGGTTGTCCTGCTGTCCCTCAGAGCAGTGGCGATGTATTCAGATAGCCTCTTCTCCATCAGAGCTACTCTCATCCAGGCTCGGCCCTGAAAGGAACGCCAAAGCTAAAGAAATTAGTTTGGAGAGTCACAAAAATGACTTCTAAATTAGTCCCAATAAAACTACATATTCTTATTTATTTGTAATTCTTTTGTCATCGTATGCTGGTCTTGCCTTGGCTCGTGAGGTGCTGATGTTTTCCATGCTCTCAATGCTGCTAATGCAGCTGTTGGGGACTTTAGCACACGCCAGGCGGATGTAGTCCCAGTAACTCCTCTGACCATCGAACCAGCTACTAGAGCCTGACACAACAAGCATGTGAAGTGTGTTAGTTTTAGTAAGCACTGAAAAACACGTTGTTACACTACACATATATTACTGCGAATAATAAAACAACATGGTTCTGCTTGCCGAAGCTGCTAAACAGGACAGAAAAGTTCCAGTAAACACTGTAAGAGCCTTGATTCAACAGGATGTTAAGCCCCAGTATGTTATCTCCTCAGTTTAGTACCTTTGAAACGGTGGCAGAGGATGTGTTCAAGGATGGCGGCGAAATTGACAAACTCTTCTGATGAATCATCGATGGGCTCGGCCGTGTATTTCTCCAGCAGGGTCTTAACTGAAAACCTGTGTGTGGTGGAGAGGAGCGAGGAGAGCACTTATTCGAGCACTTATTCGAGCACTTATTCGAGCACTTATTCGAGCATAGAGGGTATAAGATTAGTCAGGAAAAACGCTGATGGGTTACCGCTGTCTTTGTTTTAGTTTACAGTACGCAGAACATGTCGTACATCAAACTATTGCTAAAAATTTGTGAATCACACTTGATAAACCACACAAGTCTGTTTAAGGATGCAGTCACGAAAGAACACAATGTTCTGCCACTGTTATACATTTAGTTAGCTCTTAGGTTTAACCCTAAAAAACAGACTGAACATTTTTAATGAGTACAATTAGAATGACTATTCATTTTCTTACATGATTTCTAATATCATAAAAACACAAATTACAGGGATATGCACAGATTTAAAGAATGTACATGAGCAGATTATGTATAGTATTGCACTCTACGTTTATTTTTCTGTGTTCAAAAATTTGTGATGGCTGTTCCAGATGACACGGGATGGATCCTTGGATCAGTGTAGAGAAAACAGGAGATGATAAGACTGTGGAATCACTCTATCTTCTGCCAAATTGCTTGCTTAATTTGGCAGAATATAGAGTAAATAGTAAGCACTGAAAAATCACACAATTCTCCCCAGACTACAGAGCTCTGTGCCGTTTTTATAGGAAGCTGAACTCTTGTCTCTGTATGATAACAACTTAATATGTAAGAAAGTTACTTTCTATATTTGAAGAAAAAGGGTTAAATATATATGTTGTTATGTGAATTTTTGGGTCCGGTGTCATAAATGTGATGTACTTGTGTGATCAGTGAATGGTAAAATGGGAACAATGGGAACATTTTAAGACTCTGATCTCGGTGTCAGACTGACCTTACTGAACAAAATACTCCACGTTGTCCTATTCTGTCAACACGTAATCTTTCAGATATACCACAAGTTAATGTACAAGTTAGGTTTTGTACACAAGGCTCTAAATGTATTCTGTGACCATGGCAGATAAGAGAGATAACTTGTCTCCATAAATATCCTAGGTTTCCTTGTTCAAAACTCATGCTGTAATCTGTACTGTACGATTAACAAAGGTCAATGAAACTCATAAAAGCAACCTAAAAATATCTGGGTGGTGTTAGCTTGTTAGGGCAGGGCATAAAGTAATTATGTATGATACAGTTTAATAATAGTTTATTTTTACAGCACTTATCAAAACTAGAGTTACAGAGTACTTCCCAGAAACACAGAATAACAGAACAAACCAGGAGGAGATTATACAAAACAATGAACATATCAGCAGACACTGTACTGGTCCGTAGTGGTGAAAAGAGAAGCTGAGCGTAAAAAAGAAGCTCTCGATTCACTGGTCGACCTATGTCCCCACCCTCACCTGGTCATGACCTCTGGGTAGTGACCGAAAGAATGAGATCACAGATAAAAGTTGTGGAAATGAGCTTTCACCAAAGGGTGGTTGCCCTCTTCCTTAGAGATAGGGTGAGAAGTTTAGCCATCTGGGACGGGTAAAGCTGCTACTCCTCCACGTCAAAAGGAGCCAGTGTAGGTGTAGGCATCTGACAAGGATGCTTCCTGGATGCCTCCAAGGTGAGGTGTTTTGGGCATGTCCCACCAGGAGGAGACCCTGGGGTAGACCCAGGATATGCTAGAGAGATTACATCTCTTGGCTGGCCTGGGAACGCCTTGGTGTTCTCCTAGACAAGCTAGAGGAGGTGGCCGGGAAGAGGGAGGTCCAGGCTTCTCTGCTTAGTTTGCTGCCCCTGCGACCCGGCCCCGGATAAGTGGAAGAAAATGGATAGATCGATGGATGGAATTTACATATCAATTAAAACACAAGACTTAAATGTAACATCAAAATAAAATAAGGTGAATCTTAAAAGAAGACACTGATGAGGTGAGCTGAATTTTCTCAGGCAGGTCATTCCACAATCGAGGAGCCCCAACAGCAAACATTCAAACGCTCAATCGACTTGTGTCTGAGGTGGGAACTGTTAATGGGTTTCAGACCAAGGATCTCAGCTGAGCACTGGTTGGTAGAAGAACTGCAGTTTGAGTGTATATTTTGATGCTGGGCAATGAAGGACTTTAAATGTAATAAGTAAAATCTTAAAATCAATTCCTAGAGAAATGCACAGCCAGTGTAGAGTCATCAACACTGGGGTAAGATGTGTTCAGTTTTCAAGGTTCTGGTAACAATCTGGCAGCTGATTCTGCACAGTCTGAAGTCTATTTCATGCTTTCTGATTGACATCTGTTAAAAGACCATTACAGCAGTCTAACAAAGAGGAAATAAAAGCATAAAAAGCAAAATAGTCAGAGTGTCACTAAAACATATTGATCGAATTCCTGCAATATTCCTTAGGTTATAGTATCAGGACTGCGTCATCAATCAATCAACCATTACTAATCTGATTTCCCGTAATTATAATCAGGGTTAGAGCACAGAGTTCAACTATTTGAAATTGTACAAGCGTATCTCTATCCCATTTGAGTGTGGATGTAATTATGTGATCTCTGACAATGTATCTTCCATTTCCTGCAGAGTCTCGTTTCTACACTTCAGTCTGATGTCATCCTTTTACTGTGAGGAATATGTTCATCGAGCACTTTCAGGAAACTCCAACAACTTCCTTTGTACTAGATAATTTCAGCTGATGACATAAGTCTCCCGTAATACATTCCTGACTTCCAGGATCTTCCTGTGAAAACCCTTTAACTTTTGTGTGTGTTGAAGATTTGAACAAATAAAATTAGTTCAGAGAGACATAACTCAATAATGATAATAATCATAACTCAATTGGCAAGATTTTATCCATAATTTCATAAATATCCTACTTTTAAATTTTGGCTGTAAATCTTGATAACTGTGGTGATGTATAGGGAAAACTTTTAGCTGAGTCACTGGTCACTTATCCGCATCATCTAGTCTCCATGGCATGCAACTACTTTAATCCACTTTACCCTATTATCCTGTTTTAATTTTGATTCTTGTACATTGAGCTTGTTTCTTATTTCATTACACTGTAAAAACAAAGACTTTGGAGAAAATAGAGGGTTATTAAAACTCAAGGGAACAAGATATTACAGATATTAGCTAGCTGCTTTTTGTTGCTAATGCTAATTAGCATTAACAATATTAACATCAACTAGCATTAGCATAACAGTAGCTGTGTCCCAACTCCTAGGCCACAGGCTTTGAAGAACCCGGCCATCATGGTCTACGTGGGCCGGGTCCTTTAAAGTCTGAGAAGGCTGGAAGTGCGAGGCTGTGAAATGGGACGGTCTGGCCTTCAGATTTGCGTCACCAGCTGTCTCGGTGGAGTTGAATAAACTCAGCTGTCTGCTCCTTGCTCCCTCAAATATAACAGGACATTGGAGTAAATTCTCGACCATCTCACGTTTCTGTTTAATCAGTTTTCTGTTTGACGTTTATTCAGCTGCATGAAAAGTATAACTTTAATCTCAGCCAAACCCATTTACTAAGGAACAAATAAAACACTGAAAAAAGCCAAACAATAGTATTTTTACATTATCTAAGTGACTTATAAGTTTAACCTGAGTAGCGAAAGACCACGCGGGGTCTGAAAATGTGGCGGGAGTTCGGTGTTCTCGACGGCTCTAGTGGGTAACAGACATCTGTGAAAACGTCAGAGCAGCCCCAGACCATCACGCTACCACCACCATGCTTGGCTCTTGTTACCCTTTTCATGAAAGGCTATGTTAGTTTCACAGCAGATGTAACAGAACCCAAACCTTCCAAAAAGTTAAACTTTTATCTCACAGAATGTTTCCACAAAAGTCTTGGGGATCAACAAGATGTTTTGTGAGACGAGCCTTAGTTTTGGTCAGAAAGGTTTTCTCCTTGAACTCTCCCATGGATGCCATGTTTGCTCTGTCGCTCTTTTATTGTTGAATCATAAACTCTGACCTAAACTGGAGCAAGTGAGCCCTGAAGTTCTTTAGCTGTTGTTCTGGGTTCTTTTGTGACCTGACATTGACTTTGTTTCTGATCTGTTCATGAGTTTCTTTAGATTGTGGCAAGATGTTTTGCTTTTTGAGGTCTTTTGGCCTGCTTCCATTTGTCAGATAGGTTTATGTTTATATTTAGGTTATTTCTTGATTCACCATGTCATGCAGTAATCAGACCTTGCAATGGTGAGCGAAACTGAACTCAGCTTTCCAAAAAATGTGGATAATCACAGTAAATGCATGATTTAACCAGGTTCACAATTACACTTTCACATAGGGCTAAGCTATGTCCTGAAAATTGACAGCATTTTTTTCCCTTAATAAAAGGAAATCATCATTCAGAATTTCACTTTGTATTTTTTTAAGTTATCTTTGTCTAATATTAAAATTTGTTCAATGATCTGAAACATCTAACTGTGGCAAATGTGCAAAAAAAGAAATCAGGAAGTAGTGAAATATTTTTCCCAGCACTGTGCATTTGTGGGTGTATATTTTCAGCAATATACACCCACAAATGATATAAAAGCTCACAGGCAAAGAATTTTCAGTTTATTTTAAGCACCATTATTTCTTCAGCAGTGACCACTAAATGTTTTCCTGGACACTAAATAATTCAGCAGGAATATTTTCTACAAGAACACCTGTCAAATGCTATTTGTCCAGTGACGGTAAGATATGCAGTGAGCCGTGAGAAGGAAATTAACCATCTCCTGTAAACAGAGAGAAAATATTATGGCTACATACTGGTCATGTTTTGCAGAGTCACCATCTTTATGTTTTACTGGCCACGTTCACATCTATAAACAATGCTTATCTTATCACAAGCCACTGAGGCAAGTGATTTCACTCCCCATTGTTCCAAAGGCAACAATGCCTCATTCAGCTGCATCAACTGGATAATAAATGGCTGACTATCCTCAAAACGAGCACAATCCCTGCATTTCCTGTGTATTACAAACAGCAGGGCGGGGACCTGACCTAGATCCACCTGTCATTGGCTCACAGAGGTGCTGCTTACTTTTTTTTAGCCTTTTTTTATTGACTTTAATGCTCTCAATTTACATATAAGAAGCTACAATATGCAGTGGAGCTGAAGTGAGCTAACACTCCTATGTCCACCTTGGCAACTGACCCCTTTTAGATTATATAAAATATTTTATGCATTGGGAAAATCCAAATTTAAGTCACAGCAGCTTTAAATGTGCTGTGGGCTGTGGATGTCTATCTACGTTGAAGCTGATGCATGACTGAGCTGAATGATAGCACAACTACTGCTGGATGAAGGGGAAGCATGCCTGCTGACTTACAGGCTAAATGCTCTGTCCCTTTACATAACCATAATCGTTAGAGATCATTATGTGCCTGCACCGTCAGGTCAGTGATTGTGTGTTTAAGCCTACTGAAGAACAAATCTCTATCCAAAATCACAAAATCCAAGCAGGACTTTATGTAAAGATCTTATACTGCCATCCTGCCTTAAGTCCCTAGGGTGCCAGCTAGTCCTTGCTCCAGGAAGGGTGTCGTCATAGCGACCACACCATCAGCACTGGGATAAAAATTGCACTGACAAAGATAAAAGTCACACAGAGAGGCCACTGTCTGTGTGATCTCTGATTGTATTTAAATATATATGTGTGATACAAGGTCGCAGGTCACGGAAGCACACGATCAGTACACAGGCTGGAGAAGCTAACCTAAATGTGCACGTGAAAATAAGGACATTTATTATCTATGGCAAGGATGGAAATATCTCCACCAATTTGCTGCCGTAAAACAGACCAGCTACAAACCACATGACCACTTAGATGCACTTAATGCAGCATTGAGGGCATTAAAAATGTCCATTACCATATACAACATAAGGCGTGTTGGATAATGCACTCACCTGCAGACCGTGAGGAGGTTTTTCCTCTCTACCGCGAGGTTCCGAGTCGATGCTTTTTTCGAGACATCTCCCATGGCCATCGCTGCCTGCTCCATCCAGGAGGAGGCAGCCCTGGAAGCAAACGACCCCTCCCTGTGGGCCACCGGCCCTCCTCATTCACTTGTGGATGCCGGAGAAGATGCTGGCGGCCCGCGTTAAAGCCACTGACAGACAGCGGCGGCACTTTGCGAGACGACGGAGGAAACTGCTCGACACATTAGACACACCAGAGCGCGCGGAGCGTGGGCTTTGTTTTTATGTTTACTTCTGTGACCTGCTCACGGGACTGAATTGTGTCTGCTCGAGCCCCCTCTTTCTGTCTCCGCCCACTTTTCTGACTTCATCATGCCGTCATCGGATCGTTTCGTGTCGTGCGGACCGAATTACGTCACCGGCTCCAGTGACACGCAGAGTTTCTTTGAGAGCTTAATATAATATACAAAAACCAGGGATTATTTATTTGTTTGCTTGTTTGGTTTTGTGCTTACAAATTTATATTTTACAAAAAAACCCTAAAATAGATACTTAATATTTATATTTGCAATATATGTATTGTTCAAAATCCTCATCATTTTATCTCTTTAAGATAGCAAATGCTCTATCTCAATTTTGGAAATTTCATTTGCTATAGTGATTGAAATGCACATTTTATTGTTATTAATATTATTATAATTATTTGTTAAGACTGTGTATGGAAAGTAATACAATCATTAAATTTATCAATTTGTATTATGAACATATAACGCATTTTATACACGTTGAAGGTTTATTTCGTTTTTTCTGTATGTTTAATTTATGCATCAATAATAAATGATAATTTTCTATATTATTATAAATAGATATAGAATAAGAGATGTGCTAGGACCTTTTATATATTGCATTATTTAAAGATTGTTTTGGATGTATTTGAGACTGAAATTTCTTTCTTTTCTCGTTTAATAACTGTTCCTGGTAAAAGCTTTGTAGCACAATAAACCTGATATCATCACCACCACTGCGGTCACCGTGCTGGCTCACTTCCTCCTCTCGTAATTTCCAATCAACATCCTCCCGTCATTTCCCTGCTCTTGCTATCAGAGGAAAGGGCTCGTGTTTTCAGCTGATTTAGTGTCAGCACAGCAGTGGTGCAGACACGTTGGCCCCAAACCTTTTCTGCTCGAATGAAACGACAGCTGGTAGCAACCACAGGTTGGTTGGTGGGTGGGGGTTGGGAGGTTTTGGTCCTGGACTAAGACACAGATCTGTGTCTGCTCCACATGTCTGACAACACAAAATGTGTGAAAAGTTCATTTAAAATTCATTAGTTATGAAAAAAATCATAAGCATAGCCTAAATGAATGACCCAGCATGTATATAATGATTCTAAAAATGCCGTTCTACATCATGAGAAAATTTTCTCTTACTCTGAATATATTTTTGATTATACAACTTGTGCAGAATAAATCTATGTGGCTTTATAACATTTACTGAAGTAAAAAGTCTAAATCTATAAAATTGTATGGCTGAGGAATAAAAAATCTTGGACATGCCACTGACTTGGATTGGGATTATATATATTTATGACACAATAGAGCTTTATAATATTGGAAATAATGCACTTGAAGGCTATGGCAGACTATGTTTCACTGTAAACAATAAGCACATTTCTTATGTCTTAAATAAGTCGGATGTTCTTTTCATGCTATCCACTCCCCCGACCTTTGTGGTTATAGAGTTTGGATGGTATTAAAGTAAACAATGAACACACACAAATCCTTGTAAGATAACACCTCAGTGTCCCAAAATCAGCTTTTCAGCAGAGACTTTATTCTAGTATCCTCCATAATCGCTTTATTATCATATCAGATATTTCAACCACAGCTTGTCTTTTGTCTTCTCTCCCTCCCCTCACCCCCAATTGCTCATGGCAGATAGCTTCCTCTCCCTCAGCATTTTTGTGCTGGAAGTTTCTTCCTGTTAAAAGGGAGCTTTTCCTTCCCTCTGTTGCCAAATGCTTGGTGAAACGGAGTTATCTCATTGTAGGGGGTCTTAACCCTACAATGTAAAGCATCTTGAGGCAACATTTGTGATTTGGCATTATGTCAACGAACTAGACCATGTTTCAATTATTCATTTCTTGAATTCAATTAAATATTTCTTGTTTTTCTCTGTGTTTAGTCATTTTTTTCTTTATGCAGGTATTCCTTAGCTTCCAGTTGTGTTTCACTGCCACTGCCAGATAATTAAAATCCACAAGTCACTTCCATTACTGCTGTACAGTTTATTTAAAATACTCCCCAAAACATTTCTTAAAATAAAAGTGTTAAATTCACACATCATAAACACAGAACACGATTCTCTTTTAATGGGCATCTAAAATATGTACAGGTATGTTTTTCTGTCTGTTTCTCTGCGAATGCCAGTGGATTGTGGCCTAGAGGTTTGTCACTCCTGCTCCAGGTCTCCAAACGGCTCAGGTGCCTCTGTCTCTGAGTCAAAGCTTGAGGGGAGTGTGTGAAATTCTGGACAGTGTTGTGAAGGCGATCAGGGCAGAGGTTACACGAAAGAAGGAGTTGGAGTTTTGCCTGCATGGGGCGAGAGGTTCACGCATCAGCCTTCAGGGTCCTGTCAGACTGATAAATAGGTCTGCAAACCTGGACAGCAACAAACATGAAAATAAGTCCAGACACGCTGTCTAGGTGCCTTTAAATCTAATCTCATTGTGACATTTGGATTGTAAAAAGCGTTCACACCCTCATTAATGTGTGGCTGATATGTAAAGGTGTACATTTAGGCGGGGAAGGGCTGCAGGAAGTGCAGTTTGAACAAGGAGGTCAGTGTGAAAAATGCAACACAGGAAAGACGAGAAGAGGGAGAAAAAATTCTCCCTATTTATACATCCAGGTCTGTCCTTTGACTTCACTGAATTCTTTAGCTTAGGATTTCTCCGTTCACATCAGCTTGAAAACTCCACAACACATCCACACACAAAAACATCTGTCTTTATGACATGAGAATTTAGATTTAGAGTTCTTAAATTGTGGTCCAGTTACTAATGGTAGCCTATGAAAGGATGCTCGACTGTACCATGACAGCTTATGTCATACTATGATGTTGCAACCCTGAAATCGAGACCAGTATTGTATCATTATCATTATTTTTATCACACAACCATGACACTTACCACTATAAATATAACAAACAAACTCTGATTAGCCATATTACAAGCCAAAATTGGATTGGATGCATGCATTTCTTTTCTATGTGGCTCTGAGCCATTAAAAACCTCCCAGCCTTAGTCCCCAGATTTTTTTTTCTATAGTAACTAAAGTCTTTCAGCACCCTTTCACCAAATTAAGAGCATCCCCTATTTCTCAAAATCCTCATCTAAACACACATAACAAAACATAAAGCAGTACTCTTAATGAGAAAACATGTAGCTTGCCGTGATATTTCAAAGTAGCCTCAATCACAAGATGGTCTCCAGCTCTTTGGGAGATAAGGAGCTGATTAGATCTTTGGCTTCTCTGGCAAAACCTCCTGACTCAGCACCTTCTGGTTTCCACACACCCAGCTCCTGCTGGGGGCCTGAGGCCTCGCTGTCAGTCGAAGTGTAAATACGTAGGTTGGTATGATGGTGGGGGGGAGTCGTGGAAACTTGACGTGGCAGTGAGGGTCTGACCCCAGAACCAGAGGCTCCACCTGAGCCAACCACCCCTCCAGCAAAGGACAGAGCTCTGGGATTGGCAGCAGACAGGCACACGCTGTGCGTGGTGGTATGTGACATCATGCCGCCGTAGTAACAGCTGCCTCCGCCGCTGCTGGTGATCCTCGCTTTCTGCTTGAGGTCTAGCACCAGGCTACGTCTTAACCAAGCCTTCTTTACCTCAGCTTGCACCTGGGAACAAGATTTATTTAATTTTAGTTCCTTTATTTTGTTTACCAGATAAAAAAATATATAAATGTGAGTCGATTCTATATTGTAGCTTTATTACCTCACCATTGCAGAAACAGTAGATAAACGCCACAAAAAAACCCTGCAAAGATATGAGATTTTATCCAAAAGAATCAGCTTTCATTATCATTGCAGTTGAGCTTACAGCATATAACTGCATGCAGTGCTTGTTTTTATAAATGTGTCCTGACCTGGGAAGAGTTGAAGAACATCTCGTAATGCATCTGCACCTGCCACAGCAGCCCAGTGACCTCAGTGTAGGGAAGAGCCATGAACACCATGTAGTGAACTCCAAACAAAGGCATGAGGACTAATGTGGACTTGAGAAGCTTCCTGCAGAACAAAGAGTTTATTTCACTGATGTTTCTTGTCAAACAGATGGCAGCTTAAAGTCCAGAGATTAAAAACATCCACTATTTTCCTTGGAGGCTTACCTGTACTGCTGTCGGGGGTCCAGTTTGCCTGTGTTGGTTTCCCACAGTTTAGAGGCCAGTACACGAATGATGTTAATGAACAAGAGAAAATTCACCTGCAGGGAAAGAAACCGAAATCCAGATTTAAAATAATATACTCAGAATATCAGTCTTTAATGCTCTTCTGATTTAAATCCCCTTTTCTTACAACAATCGCAGCCAGAATGGGGACTTGATAGATCCATTTCAAGTTTCCAGCACTGAGATCCCAGCATCTGGAAAAAGCAATGAATCTATTACAGGGAGCATTTGTTGTTGGAGTGTAACGTAAACATAAGATAAATGGATCACATGACTCACTGAGTGTCTGCCAGTGAAGCTCGTGCGCTGACCCAAATGGACACAAACACAGCTGGAACACCTATGACGAGCACATGGGACTATTAGAAAAACTGGCATTAGTCCAAAGTGTCACCTGCCCCAGTGTCACTTACCCCAGCCAGTGATGGTGAGGGCCCACAGGTAGTTCTTGTCAGACAGGAAGGCCATGAAGATGAGACTATGGAGGTACAACCCCTCCACCAGGATCCAGTAATGATTTGTTGCCAGGAAGTACAGGAAGAGAGTAACAGCTGCTTTACAGCCAGCCTAACGACAAAAACAGAAAATATGAGTAAAACTTGTGATAATACATTCACTGATCACTTTGTTAGGAATACCTGTTCACCTGCTTGTTAATGCAAAAATCTAATCAGACAATCTCACGAGAGAACTCAGTGCACTATGTAGACATGGTCAAGGCGACCTGCTGAAGTTCAAATTGAGCAGCTGAATGTGGCATGGTCGTTGGTCCCGGACAGGGTTGTTTGAGTTTTTCAGAAACTGCTGATCTACTGGGAATTTCCCACACTACCATCTCTGAATTTCTACTGAGGGTCAGTTCTCTGGGAACTAAAGTATGCAGAAG